TGTGTTCTGGGATGGCCAGTGTTAAGACGCCCATCATGACCTGGAACTTACCTGTGTTCTGGAATGGCCACCTATCATAACCTGGAACTTACCTGTGTTCTGGAATGGCCAGTGTAAAGACGCCCATCATGACCTGGAACTTACCTGTGTTCTGGGATGGACACCCATCATGACCTGGAACTTACATGTGTTCTGGAATGGACACCCATCATGACCTGGAACTTACATGTGTTCTGGAATGGCCACCTATCATAACCTGGAACTTACATGTGTTCTGGAATGGCTACACATCATGACCTGGAACTTACCTGTGTTCTGGGATGGCCACCCATCATAACCTGGAACTTACCTGTGTTCTGGGATGGCCAGCGTGAAGACGCCCATGAACACCTGGAACAAACAGAAGATGGCCACAAGACAAACCAGGAAGTAAACCCGCTTTTGGTAGGGGCCAAACTCGCCCAACTGAAGGATGACGTCATCGAACCTCATGCTCTAGTAGACGACAACAAAGGGAATGAAACTAAAAAAAATTATGTCCTCCGTTTTACCCGGGCCCGTGTGTGTCCTGGAAGTGTGATACTGTTTATACGCCACCAAGTTCAAATATTTTTTACTGACACCATCAGAACGTGACCGGGGCTGGAACAACTTTGTTGACCTAATTTTGACACAGTTCCGCGTACAATCGTGAAGAGCCATATGTACTTTGTGCTGACAATTGTTGGGTTTTTAGCATTGCCGACCATAATACATTTTTTATAGTTAAAAAAATAACTTTCTTGCATTTTTGACTTGACGGTAAAAGCTTGTGTAAATAACAAACATATCTACTACAGTAGTGATGTTATATAGTAGCTAACACATGCTGTTGCGTAAAAAAAATATATGCCTGAGATAAAGTGTGTAAGGTAGGCAAACGTTCAAAACACTTCCATGACTTATTTCCCTTTTCTAAATAGTTAAATTGGGATGCTCATTAGCTCCTTTTAATATATTTGTACTAAACAAATTAAAAAGGAATTACTTCTCTTCATTATTATTTTTAAAAACATACATACTAAAGAATGAGATAGCATAAGAAGGAAATATATTTAAAACAAATAATATAAATACAAATGAAAGAAAAAATAAACATAATACGAGAAACCATTACACATACAAAGCCTTCACGTTTTATATTCCTTTGACCGGCTAAATACTCAAGGGCAACCAGTATTACAACAAACATATTGAACAGTTCTAGAAAAAAAAACTAGTTCTAGAGTCTAACTTTAAAAAATAAATAACTCAAAACACACTAAAGCACTCACACACACGACATGTTGTATTTTGTTTAAATTGAGAAAAAAAACATTTTACTCAAAACCTGATTAGGCCAGAAACGAGTATCCAATGTTTATATATATATATATATATATATATATATATATATATATATATATATATATATATAGGGGGCCCAGAATTTTTTTTTGCGGGGTGGCCCGTATTTTCTAGTTCCGCCACTGACTTGGGTTAGGATAGCAGAACAAAGAGTTAGGATACGACTTTGGCTAAGTGGGTTATGCTAACAGAACTATCTACAAGCTGGCTGGTGGGGGTGTTAGAGGGAATTATGAATTAATTCAACACGCAACCTTTATAGGTGTACTAGTACTTTGGTGTACTATCTACTGTTCTTGTATATGTACTTTGGTGTACTATTCTTGTACATGTATATTGATGTATAATATATATATATATATATATATATATATATATATATATATATATATATATATATATATATATATATATATATATATATATATATACCAGCCGTCCCGGCCAGGCCCTGCACTGGCATCTCTGAAAAACGTATCTGTAAAGGACCATAACTTGTGTGTTTAGTAATCAGCTTTTATCAGGCATTGCCCACCCTAACCACAACAAACCAAAACACACAAAAAACGCAAACATAACACTAACACAAAACAAAAACAAACGAAAACACAAAAACAAACGCAAAGACAAACCCAAACTCAAACACAAAGAAAACACAAACACTAACGCAAACAAAAAAGCAAACGAAAACAAATCCAAACGCAAACACAAACCAAACCACAACCAAACAAAACCAAAACACACCAAAAAAAAACAACGCAAACATAACACAAACGCAAATACAAACACAAACGAAAACACAAAAACAAACGCAAACACAATCACAAACACAAACACAAAGAAAACACAAACGCAAAGAAAAAAAGCAAACGAAAACAAAACCGTAACCCAAATCCAAACGCAAACACAACCACAAACGCAAAACAAACTCAAACACAAAGAAAACACAAACGCAAAGATAAACTCAAAGTGTCCACAGTCTAGCCCGGGGCGCCAAATCGCACCATGAAGACGTGCGGCGTAACCGCCTGATTCAACTTCGTAAACGACTATAGTACCAAACTTATTCATAGTCTTTTGAACTCACTTACGCGAACGTAGGTACCATAGCGTACACGGGAAGGCCCGGGGCGCCAATAACACCCTGTCGGGGTGCCGGAGGACGCCCGGATTTGATTCACTTACAGACTATTGTAACCTTTCTTATCCATAGTCTATCGCACTGTTTAAAACAAAATTATGCATCATAGCGCTCACATGGTAGGCCAGGGAGCCAAATCGAACCGTGCAGGGGCGCCAGCGTACGCGCCTGTTTCAATTTAGTGAACACAATTATAATACTCCATGCTTATCCGTAAATGGAAAGAAATAAACATATAGGATTTGTAGGACCTGGCTTATTGAATGTTATTGATTTTAAAAAATAATTAGTGAACAGTATGTTCAGTGTATAGAATAAATAAAAGGCAGTATTAAAAATACCAACGACATTGCACCTAATCAATCCCCGCTAATTATGTAATTATTTTTTTTTCTTAACACCAAAACAAAGTAATAAAAAGTAAATTCTTTCTTCCCCCGATTTAATGATTTTTTTAAAGGGAAGTAACTGTGTAGTCAATACATTTCAGACACAATTTTAGAAATTTTATAAACGTTGATACACTTTTTAAAAATTTTATGTAATGTTCATAATTGAAAATTATTATTCTAAGTATATAAAATGAAAATTGTTTCAAAAGACTTTCAGTGGTAATTTTTTAACTCATAAATTTAGACCATAAGAACTATAATAATCTAACACTTAAATCCATGGAAGTATCCACGACAAACTTATTATAAACAAACATACAGAATTGAGCTTGATATATTAAACTAGCCGTCCCGGCCAGGCCCTGCTCTGGCTTCTGTGAAAAACCTTTCTGTTAAAGACCATTACCTGTGTGTTTAGTAATCATCATAAACCCGGCATTGCCCACCCAAACCACAACCAACCAAAACAACAAAACGCAAACATAACGCTAACACAATTACAAATACAAACGAAAACTAAAACCTAACAACAAACCCAACCACAATCACAAACACCAATACAAACACAAAGAAAAAACAAACAAAAAAGCAAACGAAAACAAAAACCTAATAACAAACCCAACCACAACCACAAACACCAATACGAACACAAAGAAAAAAACAAATGAAAAAGCAAACGAAAACAAACCAAATCCAAACGCAAAACCAACCACAAACACAAACCCAAAGAAAAAACACAAACGAAAAAGCAAACGAAATCAAACCAAATCCAAATCCAAACCCAAAAACCAACCACAAACACAATTACAAACACAAACCCAAAGAAAAAACACAAACGAAAACGAAAAAAGAAAGAACAAAAACGAACCAAATCAAAACGCAACCACTAACGCAAACCCAATCTAAACACAAAGAAAACACTAACGCGAACATAAACGCAAAGGGCTCACGGTCTAGCCCGGGGCAGAATCGCCTGTTTCAGCTTAATAATCGACTATAGTACCCCAACTTATTCATAGTCTTTTTGCACTCACTTAAACGAACGTAGGTGCCAAACCAAACCAAATGAGCAATTATAATACTCCAAACTTATTCGTAAAATACCTACAACATTTGCACTTGATCAATCCCCGCTAATTATGTAATTATTTTTTTCCCAACACCAAAACAAAGTAATAAAAAGTAAATTCTTTTCCACAAATGCAATGTTTTATAAAGGGAAGTAATTGTGTTTTCCTAATTTATCAAAGGGAAGTAAGTGCTAAAGGACTAAATATAAATAATGTTCAGACATAATTAGAATTTTTGTTATTTTTTTAAAAATTGTGTTTAATGAACATGACGACAATTATTACTATCAGTTTGAAAAATGAAAATTATTTCCCAACACTTTCAATAGTAATTTTTTAATTCATAAATTTAGACTATGAGCACGATAATAGTCTAACACTTAAATCCATAGAAGTATGTCAACGACAAACAAACAAACTTACTTTTATATACAGAATTGAGCTTTATATATTAGATATATATATAGATCTACATGTACTTTGGTGTACTGTTAATTTACAACATGTAATTTGGTGAACTAATCGTGTACGTGTAGTTAGATGTACTGTACCTGTACATGTACATGTACATGTACATGTACATGTACTTTGGTGTATGTTCATGTACGCGTGCTTTAGTGAACTGTTCATGTGTTGTTTAGTTATGTATGTAATCCACATCAAAATCGTTACACTGTGTCCTTCAAATACAAACCCTTTGAAAAAATGTTATCCGTTCAAAATGGTTTGGAAATTGATTGTTAGCTTTTCAGTAACCCTAATCCTAACCCTAATCCTGTTTGATGAGTGAATGCGCTAATTACATTCGCCCCCATCCTTCACCCCTGCTACAATCGAATCGTTTTAAAAAGCAATTATAATTCAATACATCGATTTTTTCAACTCATTTTGGATTTGCGACTTAATCTGTTTTTATTGTTGAGAGACGCTAAGCTGACTGGTTGGAGAGTATGTACAATCTTTGTTCGGGGGGGGGGGGGGGGTATTTGCATGAAACTGTGGGTAGACTAGCTTAGTAGCTAGAGGCTATGTTCATGCAACTGTAAAATTGTTGGTTAAAGGCTATGTGCATAGTGGTTTAAGCAAACTAGTTAGAGGCTATGTTCATAGCTCTCTAACAAACTAGTTAGGGACTATGTTCATTCAACAGTATACTAGTTAGAGGTTATGTTGGTGCTCTAAGCAGACTGGTTAGAGGTTATGTTGAAGGTGCTCTAAGCAGACTGGTTGGAGAGTATTTGAAATGAGGACGCTGTACTGTCGCCCGCCTCACAGGCTGTGGGTTGTGTTTTTCTGTTTGGTCCTTGTATCCATCAATTCGGTGTTTCTGTTAATGCTCAACACCAGGGATGGACCCAGGCTACAGGTAGGGTGTGCTTACAGCTAGACAGACATCGGATCAGACTTGTCGTAACTGTAGACAGACATCGGATCAGACTCTCTTAAGGATAGACAGACATTTGATCAGACTTGTCGTAACTGTAGACAGACATATGATCAGACTGTCTTAAGGATAGACAGACATTTGATCAGACGTGTCTTAAATAGATAGACATTTGATCCGACTTGTCTTAACGATAGACATACATTTGACCAGACTTATCTTAAATAGACAGACGCGTGATCAGAATTGTCTTAAGTAGGCAGACATTAGATCAGACTGTCTTAACGATAGACAGAAAATCATAGTATTGTTCCAAATAATTGAAAGACAACTTATATAATTTTTCAAAACAAATTGTATTATTTCGCTATCATTAGATTTAAAAAGAAATATTGATTACTATAAAAGGTATTCAATGTAGGTGGATAATTAATTTTAAACTCTTTTTTTTATGGTAACTTATTTTTTTTTAAGATGTATAGGTTCTTAATCTTAACCATGTGCGGTTCAAAAACTTGGAATTAATCAAAGTTGTTAAAATAGTGATAAATTTCCAACTCGATAAAGAAACGTAACTAATATTCGGAAACCAATTTTACCCTCACAGGATAAAGAGTTGCCTGAACAATCTAAACATAATGGGAAGCTACTCGTCACAGAACTCACGTTTACCAGACGAGTTGTCCAACTTTTCAGAAACCTTATCGGACTTGGCTCGCCGAAACAGCACACAACTTCTGATGACGTAGACGGTAATTCCACGGGGGCCGGATGTTTTCCAGAGTTTGAGTGGGTGGACTGGAACAACTACACCCTGATGGCAGAAGACGCCAACAGGACGGGTCTAGGAGAACAGGGCGAGGCCGTCCATCCCGACCCTAACAAAACGTTGACCGGCACTGAAGCAGAACTCAACTCCAAGTACAGGTATAACGTCGTGCTCAGTGACCTCATCTCCGTGGAGAGGTCAATAGGTGACCTCAGGACGCCCGCGTGCAAGAAACAAAAGTTCATCAAAAACATTCCCCGGAACTCTGTCAGCATTATATCCGTGTTTTATAACGAAAGGTCATCGACCTTACGCCGGACATTGCATAGCATCTTTAAAAGGTCACCAAATTCGTTGTTGAGAGAGGTCATCCTTGTAGATGACGCGAGCAGTGAGGATGAGCTGAAGGAACCTCTTGATGACTACGTGAGTAAACATTTCCCGAAAGTAAAAATTGTGAGAAATGGTCGCAGAGAAGGTTTAATCCACAGCAGGATGATCGGTGCTGATGCTTCCACCGGCAAGTACCTTGTGTTCTTGGACTCTCATATGGAGGTCAACTACAACTACCTGCCCCCTCTGATAGAGCCGATGGTTTTCAACTCTAGAGCCATCGTCTGCCCCATGGTGGACTTCATCAACGCCGACACGCTGATGGTGGACGGACTGACCAGCCGAGTCCGCAGTGGATTCGACTGGACCATGGCGTACAAGCGAATGCCAATGAAACCTATGGATGAGACCACGCCCCATCCTACCCCATCTATGGTGGGATGCGCATTCGCCATCACGCGCAGGTGGTGGGAGGAGCTAGGGAAATACGACCCCGGGCTGCGGATATGGAGCGCGGAGCAGTACGAGATCTCGTTCAAGTCGTGGATGTGTGGCGGAAGTGTGGTGGACGCGCCGTGCTCGCGCATCGCGCATCTCTTCCGGCCACTTCCGTACGCCCAGGACCTGTACGCCGATGACGTAGTTAACAAAAACTTCCTGCGTCTGGCGTCGGTCTGGATGGACGAGTACAAAGAGGTCGTCATGACCCTCAGACCGGGAATGAAGCAACTCGACCCTGGCAACCTCACCAGCCAACACGAACTCCGCAGAAGATTAAACTGCAAATCTTTTAAATGGTTTCTTGACGAGGTGGCGCCGGATATCCTCTTACATTACCCCATAACCACGCCCCCTTCTGTAGCTAACGGAAAAATCCGAAATGCTAAAAATAGCTCTTTGTGTATTCAAGCCAATGAGGATCAATTATCATTAACTAGTTGCTTAAGCCCATCTGCTGCATCCTTCACCTTCGACTGGAGGTACCACATCCGGAGCGGGAAATGTTTCGCTAACCCCGTCGCTGATTTTGTTTACATGTTTGAGTGCCTGGACTTCGAGGACAGGCCGACACAGCTGTTTGCGTGGGATCGAAACTCGGGGAGGATTGCCAACTTTTACACCCGGCTGTGTCTGGACTTTGATGCGCCCACCCTGGGGCTCAAGATGAAAGAATGTAACGCCACTGTCCAGACTCAAGGCTGGACGCTGGACAATGTCAACGTGACCTTGGCTGACCGGATGTGGTCAAGGTATCAGTCGGTCATCTACCAGTATGGCTGAAGTTCATGAACACACCATAATGTTTATATGGTTATAACACACCATAATGTTATATCGTTATAACACACCATAATGTTTATATCACACACACTTCTGGTTATTTATTTATTTAAACAACTCCCCACAAGAAATAAATCTGTCGTGGTTTAAACAGAAAAAATCTCACTGTGTTTGGGTATTTTCAAACCTTTGAACAAACCTACTGGTTTATTAGGTTTAATGACACCCTTTGAATAAATATATAGGTTTAGGTTTAAGAAAGTTCACAACTCTTACTTTATTAAAAAAAGAAACCACGTAATATAAGTAGCCTACAGTACAGCTTCAAGTTTCGAACTACACTAGAGCTTCAAGTTTTGAACTACACTATAGCTTCGAGTTTCGAACTACACGATAGCTTCAAGTTTCGAACTACACTATAGCTTCGAGTTTCGAGCTATACTATAGCTTTGAGTTTCGAATGTAATCGTATGACATGATTCAAAACCCGAACATTACGTTACCCGTAAAATATTCTTCCCATGCCTTTTGATGTTTTACAATTACGCGTTTTTCTCCGTAAAAACAATTTTCGACTATGAAAGTAATGTTTATTCAGAAGAGATATTTAATTGTGCATTTTGTATTAACCGCTGTATAATTGAATAAATTGTATAAAAGAACTGTTTTATTGAATAAAATTTATAACAAGCTGTAAAAACCAGTTGTAACTCTACATAAGCCAGTACGCTTGTAATTATAACCTATCCCCCCGCCCCCAGACCCTTGTAGCCAATCGATTTAATCTTGTTTGTGATTCAGTTAACTTTTATTAATCTGCGCATTAAGAATTGGTGAAGTGTTTGATACGTATCTTATTGCCTACCCCCCTCCCCACATCACCCAATCAATTGTAGGAACAGTGTTTTAGTACCTTACCCCTCCCCCCCCCACACACACACACCACCACCACCACCACTTCACTCAATATATCAGCTTCTTTTAGTGTAGGATGAAAGTCGACATGAATCATCGTAGTTTAGGTGTAACAGTTGTTTATTTGAAGAAATCGTTCTGTGTAACATTTGTTTATGTGTAACATTTGTTTATGTGTAACATTTGTTTATGTGTAACAATTGTTTATGTGTAACATTTGTTTATGTGTAACATTTGTTTAATTGTAACAATTGTTTATGTGTAACATTTGGTTATGTGTAACATTTGTTTATGTGTAACATTTGTTTATGTCTAACATTTGTTTATGTCTAACATTTGTTTATGTGTAACATTTGTTTATGTGTAACATTTGTTTATGTGTAACATTTGTTTATGTGTAACATTTGTTTATGTGTAACATTTGTTTATGTGTAACATTTGTTTATGTGTAACATTTGTTTATGTGTAACATTTGTTTATGTGTAACATTTGTTTATGTGTAACATTTGTTTATGTGTATTATGTGTAACATTTGTTTATGTGTAACATTTGTTTATGTGTAACATTTGTTTATGTGTATTATGTGTAACATTTGTTTATGTGTAACATTTGTTTATGTGTATTATGTGTAACATTTGTTTATGTGTAACATTTGTTTATGTGTAACATTTGTTTATTTGTAACATTTGTTTATGTGTAACATTTGTTTAAAGTTCCCCTTCCAAACCTGACGGTCTCTGGAGCTAGTGAAGTAGAGTTCACTTGTTTCTGTGACCTCGGCATATTAAGAGATATTGTGGTCAGCACTATGCCCATGGAACATTTGCTTACGTGTTAAATTCCTGAAATACCCGATTAGAAATGCTAGTCTTAAAATGCCCCACAATTCGAACGGGCTGATCACGTGGTGAGTAGGTAAGCTCTCCTGTTTGACCAATCAAAAATGTTTGTTGCAGATTGAAAAGGATAAGCTAAAAACAGCTTAATCCCCCAAAAATGTTAGTAAATACTCGATAGAAATGTGTGCGGTAACAGAAGTAAAATCGATTTAAAAATTACTTCACCCGGAGGATTAAATATTTTTACGCCATAAATTAGCGAGAAATATTTTATTTTTTATATCCTAACAGCTTGACTACACAAACTGACAGTTTATAATTTCAGTCGTTTTTTTTTTTTTGTAACGGTTAACGTGGTTTTCCAGCAGTTAAACTCTAAACGCTTAAGTGTTTTGAAAATTTGAGTGTTGGGGTTTGGGGGGGGGGGGGGGGGGGTCAAAGGCTTTTCAAAACTTGTATGCGGAATGTGGGGGAATTAAAGTCGTTTACCGTTTATTTTAGTGGAGTTGAGGGGGGGGGGGTAGAAATCAAGGTAGATGGTCCTTTCACCTATAGTCTAAAGGTGTTCCGTTGGTGTCATTGGGAGTTTCACATGTGTGTGTGTGTGTGTGTGTGGGTTCGTTGGTGTAGGTGTTACCATGGTGTGTAGGTCCGTGTGGGGTGGCGTGGTGTTGGTGAGTATGTGTTTGTGTGTGTTGGTGCGGGTGGTGTACTCTGTTGTGTATTTAAGGTGTCCGTGTGTGGGTGTCGTGGTGTTGGTGAGTATGTGTGTGTGTGTGTGTGTTGGTTTTGGTGGTGTACTCTGTTGTGTATTTGAGGTGTCCGTGTGGGGTGGCGTGGTGTTGGTGAGTATGTGTTTGTGTGTGTTGGTGCGGGTGGTGTACTCTGTTGTGTATTTAAGGTGTCCGTGTGTGGGTGTCGTCGTGGTATTGGTTCGCTACACACCAGAAGGTGTGGGTACATTTGTGTGTGAGATTTACCCAGGCGAATATGTGTGTGTGCATGTCTATGTGTATGTGTGTGTGCATGTCAGTGTGTGTGTGTGTGTGTGCGTGCATGTATGTGCGGGGGTTGTGGCACTGTTGTAGATGTTCCCACCCTTGAATTGGCCCTGATTTGTGTGTTTGAACTGGTGTGTGGTGGCGGGTGTGTGTGGGTTCTATAAATATAACTTGATAGAAGTGACGTCAGCTATAGAGTCCTTTCATATGACGTCACGTCCGTTCGTGATACCTACGCCCGCCGCCACAGTGGTGTACACCAAACGTAAACACAATCAGCTGTTCACCAGCGCTGGACGTGTTCACCAGCGCTGGGCGCGTTCACTGTATGAAAAGAACCGCACCCGCGGAAAAGGAAAAATACGTTAAAAAACTTGAACTCTTAGGAATTGAAGATCCTTGTACTGTTATTGACAGTTTCGTAGATAATATAAATATGTGGCCAAAATTTCTAAATAAAAATACTGTTAGTAATATTGTTTGCGTTTAGAGTTTAAGTAGACGAATCTGAACAAATGCAGTTCTCGATACTTTGTTTCAGGTAAGGACAGTAAAATAATAAACTTCATTTTAATTATAAAAGATAACTATTAATAAAAGACAAAGTCAAAATTAATAATAAGAAGAATAAGATCTAATAGTAGGCCTAATAATAGTGTTTTAATATCTAGATCTAGAATCTAGCTCTAAACATGGCGTAAACAAAATTCGGACTACAGATCTAGATTCTGGATTTAGGGTGACTGACTCCGCTGGGTAGACATAGAATCTAGAATCTACTTCTTTACTTAAATTTAATTACAAAATTTAGATCTACATTCGATTCAAAATACACCCATAATAAATCAAAAGTAGTCATAATAGGCATAATAAAGCATTTAATTGTCTCTAAGATCTAAAATCTCGCTCTATAATCTAATCATTTTTTTAGCAAACGAAATTTTCTGAAATTGAAATAGATTGTATGACTAGACTTAGATCTAGAATCTGCTACTTAAATTAAATTGTAAAAACTTTATACAAGCATGTAGTTGATATTATTGTAGAAGAAGGCTTTAATAAATTACTAAGGCCTACCTACTTTGTTGTCTTTTTACAGCAATATGTATCTGATACTGGACTGAGTTTAATTAAATTCAAATTCATATATAGTAATTGGTCTACTAAGTTTTTGTAGCCTAGTAGTACAATCTAGATCATACCAGCCAACAACAAATAACCACATTATGATTATTTGGTTAATGATTAGGCTAATTTTTTTTTAAATCCACTGTTTATAAAAGAAACAAATCAAGCTAGAAACATTATAAGTGAGATGGTTTAGAATAATAACAATGGACCCAGACTACAATTGATACAATTGCAGGTCTACACAGGGCCTACAGTCTAGTAGTTTACAGTAGGCACCTAGTGTGTAGCTAGTATACTAGTGTGTAGCTGTCCAGAGTTAAGATTCTTAATGCCTTAATGCTTTCCCCTGATAAGCCATGTGTGCTATAAATGACATAACATGACATCGAGGTGAGAAATATTGAGGGGAGAGCAGTGTGACTTTCCCCTTTGTTCTCCCTGCTGGGCCCTGAGGGTCAAAATTATATAAGAAATACTATCTCTGTGGGGCTGGGTATCACGGAGGTGAGACATTTTCAGGGGAGGGCAGGGCAGACTCCTCTTTGGTTTTATTGTGGGCTAGATACAGGTGGGGGCAGCCATCATGAGGGTTGAACATCAGTATTAATGTGTCTGATTACTTCCCTGCTGGATTATAAGGGTCTTAAATTGTATAACATGCTACCCAGATTGGTTATTACCCATGGATTATATTAGTCGTTGAAGTGTGGGTTTTGTAGAAGTTAAGTGGTCTCACGTTTGCTACAGTAGATAACCTATAATATATTACTGCATTTGATCAGATTCGTCTACTTAAACTCTAAACGTAAACGGTATTACTAACAGTATTTTTATTTAGAAATTTCGGCCACATATTTATATTATCCACGAAACTGTCAATAACAGTATAAGGATCTTCAATTCCTAAGAGTTCAAGTTTTTTAACATATTTTTCCTTTTCCGCGGGCGCGATTCTTTACATACGGTGAACACGTCCAGCGCTGGTGAACACGTCCAGCGCTGGCGAACAGCTGATTGTGTTTACGTCTGGTGTACACCACTGTGGCGGCGGGCGTAGGTATCACGTGATTTAGGTCACGTGTTTGCAAGGACTCTATTGGGCACACATGGATTTATTCATAAATTTATTGACGTTTAAATAAAAGTCAAATATTAATGCAATCAAAGAATCGCATCAATTAATGCTATAAATATCGAATTGAAATTGTAACAAATAAACCATTTACACAGAAATATA